AGAGGGGAATGAATTTGAAAATGAAGGTTAATCAAAGTATTCAGGATTTTGAAGCAATCATAGAGTGAATACATCTGCGCCACTGTGACTGATTTTCAGACATTTTACTAAGATTCTTTAACCACTGATTCATTCATCTCTTCTTAGGAACCTCATCTAGACAGCCTATACCTCCCGATACGGTTCAGATCAAGATTTAGAGACTTCATGAACTGGTGTCATGTCTCGGCTGGCCATTTTGAACCCCCTTTCAACCTAATTCAACTTTCTCTAGAATGGGATATCGAGACAGACTCCTTAGTCAGTGATTACTCACAATCTCATCGATCAACTTGCCTTCCTTGCCCTGCACACTCCACCTGATGTCAACATTGCTCATAAGGTGATTCCAACATACGCTAGCAATGCTATGAAAACATCTGTAGTCAAGATCCTTTGACCGCTTCGTGTCTTCGACTTCTTACGGCCATGTCGCAGCTGTACAATAGTAGAGGACGAACTGTCGCGCAGCATACTCGTCCTTTTATAGATACTCAGATGTCTCAACAGTTGGCGCCAGGGATGACGCAAGTTGACAAATGCCAAACAGGCCTTCTGCATCCGATATGAGATTTCATCAGCGACCAGTTCGTTCGAGTTGATGCAACTTCTCATATAAGTAAAATGGTCGATGTATTCAACCACTTCACTGCATATCTTTAAGTTGGGAGTAGTTGCAGGTCAGTCCTGAAACATTATCTTACATTTGACAAGTGCGAAGCATATACCAGCCAAACATATGCATATTTCTGCTCAAGGTGTTCAGAAAACTCTTTATTTTGTCAGTATCTTCACCTAGCTGAACAATATCGTCTGCATACTTTAAGTTGAACAGATCACCTTAAGGGAGTAGGTCAATCCTTGTGAAGTCAGATGTATGAAAGAATGCATACTTTAGTATGTCCATAAGCAAGCAAAATGTAGTCCAATCGCCTTATAACTTCCTTAGCATTAAGATATATATATATATATATATATATATATATATATATATATATATATATATATATATATATATATATATATATATATATATATATATATATATATATATATATATATATATAGTAATCCTATTATCACTGTGATCTCATGACATTTTATTTCAATACATACCATGTGATTGAAAATCTAATTTGAGTGTACTACTTATTTTAATCTTTCAAGCAAGCTTGAAAAAAAATTCTCAGTTCCCTATTGTATGAAGGATAGACAATAATTTGCACATTTTCGTGTAATCTCAGTTAATGCTTGATTTTCACATGGGTTCTCCTCATTAATTGTGACTACTTTTCGATAAAATTCTAATCATCAATGGTAATTAAAAGGCATGTTTAATCAAATCCACTTCAACCTTGAAAATGTAATTCTTTACCACCGCCTACAATATATATTGATAATTGAATGGTACCTTTTTCTGTTTCCTTTTAATTTCAAAAATTAGGCAAGAATACTTTATTTAGATTAGATAGGGAGGTGAAATAATTCCAATATTTTACTTGGAAAATATTGTAGAAACATTTTATCAACATTAATTCAGAATTTAGGAATTCAACCTTGAGCATACCAGCGAAGAAAATCGATTGCTCGGTTGTAAGCACTTTGATTAGTATTAACATTCAATCACCTTGTGGATGCATGATACCATGAACTTATCAACAATAAAGACACATAGTACCTCATCGATAATCTCACTTCATCTGAACAGTAACTGTGACAAAGCCTGGTCGATGATCAGCTGCTATGTTATTCACAGAAACCTCGAGAATGCTTCCGTAATCGGGCTAATCAGTATCACCTTTGTGAAGGTAGAACAATTAATACGTATCGATACTACCCTCTCAGTTTAAGGATAGGGAGTGAAGTGATTGAATGTGTCGACCACTTCAGTTACTTGCGGAGACACATCAGTCCAAATGGACTGATTGCTGAAGAAATCTCAGCTTGGATATCGAAGGCTTGCTTGGCATTTAGCAACTTGGATCATCTGTAGTGCCAACTGGCAAGATATCCGACTATCTATCAGAGGATAGGTATACTGTACTGCAGTCATCTGTTCCCGACCGACAGCTGCCGCTATCTTGACATGGTGGTTAGGCTTGCATATCCCAATGAGCACTTGGTTCCTTGAGGATGCACTGTAACAGAAAGGTTTGTTGGATAGTGTTAAGAAAGAAAGCAGTTACCGTCATAATATGAACCACTACACTACAATGAAGGCCCGATGGGGGTGAGACAACAGTCAAGTGTTTCCCAAGGATAATGAACAGTACCACGCTTATGTTGCCTTCTTTCTGGGAACTCACAGTTAAGGAACGTCTCTACCCCCAATAGCATATTCCCTCTTACCCTGTGGTGTTTCGGTACCGGTGGTATGAATTTCCTAGCTAGATTAAAACCAATGAAAGCTGAATCGCAAACTTTCAGAAAGGCAGTGTGTAACTGACTTCAAGCAGATTTCATTTGGTCTCTGTGGTCAGGTACCACTATTTTAATTTCCGATTTACTCACTTACCTTAAAAGAAGGTAAATTTCCGCTGTATGGACAGTTGGGAGGTTTCAGCAACCGTCACAACTGTGTTCGCACTCATTTTCTTTCAGACCATCTCCTGCTCTATTTCGTTAGTTAATGAGCCTCTCAATGAAGTCGAACAAGCTTTTCGATAAATCATTTATAGGACAAAAAACGATTATTCCACATTACATTCGTTTATTTGCGTCATTCCTATTACATATGTTGGTTATACGTAGATTCGTTGAACAAAGATTCAATAGTCAATCTCTCTCCCCACTTTATTGACCTTGGTTATAGTAGTTTTATTTCACCCTGTAGTATGTCTGTTAATGTATGTATAGCAATAGCCCAGATTATTTAGGTCATTGATCTTATTGAGGTCTGTCATTCTACATTTGGTTAAATTCCCGTGTTCCGATAGTCTAAATGACTCCGATCGACTGGTTCGACCTACGTACTCGACTTTACAGTCATTACATGGAATTCGGTAGATCAAATTATATTTTTAAAAATTGAGCTTATTAGGTCTTTAAGCCGACAAAGTTTATTTATGAGTGAATTTGTAGGTGTGAATGATATCCTAATTCCAGCTTTGTTGAAAAGTCTACATAAAGTTTTTGATGTTCTTTCCTTATATAGTAATCTAATAGAGGCGTTGAACTCCTTTATACTCGTATTTTCGTTATTATTCATATTCATATTACTGTTATTTTTTGCTTAGTGGTTTAATTTGGGGAGTTTACGGTACTAATAAAGTTCATAAACCAGGTTATCCCATTAGGCCCATAGTTGACTTCAGAAATACCCCAGCATTTGAACTAGCAAAGTACTTAGCATCGATAGTATGTCCTATTAGGAACCTTTCAAATTCCAGATTAGTAAACTTTTACGAGTTAAACCTAAGGCTTAATGACCTACACATAGAAGAGGATGAAGAAATAGTTAGCTTCGATGTAACAAGTCTGTATACTAAAATACCAATCAATATGACACTGGAGGCAGTCAGAAGTCAACTAAATATTGACTCAGGACTTGCTCACAGAACTAAGATATCCGTTGATGAGATTATATTACGCATGCAGTTGTGCCTGATCTCCATAGTCTTTAGATTTCAAGACAAGATCTATAGACAAACAGAAGGAGTAGCAATGGGATCACCAATATCCCCAATCGTGGCATATGTAATTATGGATAGTTGGAAAGAAATAACTTTCAGAAAGTATAATCCTGCACCTAAGATATAGTGGCGATATATGGATGACACATTTACTGTGTTAAAGTAGGAACATATCGACAATTTCCTCACACGTATAAACTGAGTAGTAGGTGCAGTTCAATTTACTTACGAGGAGGTAGAAAATGAACAAGGAGAATTACCTATGTTGAATTGCAGGATGAAACGAAGGATACTACCGTTAGCAGAAAACCGACACTTTCCAAAAGGTATCTAGACTTCAAAGCATCTCATCCAATGTTGGTTAAGGCAGGCTTACTCAAATGTCTGAGTGACAGAGCTAGAAAACTCATCAGTTATTGTAAGGACTTAAATAAGGAATCGAAACACATCAAAGATGCCCTACCAATTAGTAACTATCCTCTAAGTTTATTAAGGATCCAGTAAAATCAATTAAATGAAGCATCTCGATGTAATGACTGTGAGACCGAGTACATAGGTCAATAGGTGATAAAGTTAAACAAACTAAACAAGGAAGTCATGTGGTCACCTCAATATGACTAGTGTGAGATAATTTATACTGGAAACCTCATCAAGTAGATAATACTTTATCAAATAAAGAAATCTAATATGGGATTGTATTTCATGACAACGTCCACATTCTACACTTATATAAAGGAAATGGTTATTGTTTTCACATAAAGAAATAAGTATTTTATCTTAGTTTTAGAGCTATCATGTAACCTGTAAAACTCTTCATATGAATAGTCCTACCAGATTTTGTTTACTGCTACTTGTAATTTCCCGTTGCTACACTGTTGAATTGGTCGACCTTTGCCGGGAGATGGTGTATTATGTGGATGCTTCGATATTGTCGGGTACTCATAATGTTGTATTCATTGTGGTTAGCTGCAGTGTGTAATCTGGGATGCACGTTTTGTTTCATCTAGGACTTGTCAGTTAGATGTACTTCCATTCCAATAATGAGTGTTATTCCTATGGGGACTCGCATAGCTTCAAATAAAGGAAGGGCATCCACTAATGCGCAAGATTCACCTTTAGTATAAGGAGTACCAGTTTTGCCAATGTATTTGATATTTTAATCGGTGTTCATTAATATAACCCATCAAAAGATAGTTAATCTTGAAGTTTCTATAATCGTAAATGTATCTGTTCTAATGTATACTACTTTGTTTTCCTTCAATAAATCGACTACATTTGATACTTGACCTCGTAGTGTTTTGTATTTTTCCTTTTTTTCTTTCTCTCTAGCTAAAAGTGTTAACTATAATAATTCTGAAAGTGCTAAACAAAACTTGTTAAACAATGTCAAAGTACAAGTAAGTAATATACTTGAGAGATATACATTTCTTGGTGTTTGTTAGTCGACTAATAGGAAAATTGTAGCCTAATTACCAACTTTTAATTGGTACTCTTTTATATACAGAACAAACCCAGTACAACATTGGTATCAGGAGATAAGCTATACAAAGTATAAAATATACAAAATTATGTCTCATCTTCTACAACCGCACGATTCTAGATGTAAGGAAACAAACTGACTGATTCTGCCACTTCCATGTGTATTTATAAAGTCAACTGTTCCTGTGGAGCTAGTTATGTTGGGCATACAATGAGGCAGTTCCATCGTCGAATTTCTAACCACCACTCATTATGGTTGAGCAAGGGACAATAAAGAACTCCATACCTGCACGCGTAGTTGACAAGGGAAATCAAGTAGATACTAGAAAAACTTTCAAATTACTCATCGTATTCCAATTAATTTACCACATTCAGGCAATATTGAGGCATCCGTATAGGAGCCCATATGCCAGTAGAGGTTGAACAATTCGATCCAGTAAAACAACAGGAAATTACAAGTATATCAGTAAATAGTAATAACTAACATCCATTTCACAAGAGGTGTTTATCGTTCCTCCATGGTCTAGTGGATAGCACCTTGGCGTTTGAAGCGATGGATACGAGGTTCGAGTCTCAGTGGGAATAACGTCACTCACTGAGGTGCAGGTACATCCAACTGACGAATCCCAAACAGGACGACACGCTCATCCTTGATTCGTCTGCTAGGCATAACCAACCAAATTTACCACATGGATTACGGACTCACTTACTTCACATAACAGAGGTAACTGCAATCCATCTTTACAAACCTAACCTTTGTATTCAAAAGAAGTTTATTCGACCCCTTTCATTACCATGGCCATCAACATGCTTCTACTATTACTTTGTACACCTCGTCCTCTTCTTGTTTCTGTCAATATTCATTTGTCTTCCTATTATTACGTAACCACTTATTGCTAATGCTTGAATACTCATCAAAAATCACTCTATTTTCGTAAGAATAACCTGCTTCATATTTCCCATTTTAATAACTCAATTGATTATTTACACCTTTATTATTAAAACTTATCATCTTCATGATTTACTTAAAATGTATAATTATTGTTCACCAACCCCCACCACTTGATTAGTATTTGGATTAAATTGTAAACCTACATATACTAGTTAGTGTAGAGCCCAAGACGAAGGAACATATTTCTTTGCTCAATCAGTCTTTATATAACATACAAATAAAGTAAAAATATTAGGCAGATAAAAATGAGTGGCGAAATGAAAGTAGAAATGCATTATTTAAAAAACAGTCTCAATGATGCATTCAAGGAAGCAACAGCTACTTCCGTTTTACTCTTCTCTATCATAAGAACCAAGACAACTACAGCGTGATTGAGGGTGTAACATTAAAAGAATCTCAAGACTGAAGGAAATAATATTCCAATGGTTTGACTTTCAAGGTCACTAAAATAAATATAAATGACCAATTAAACGTCTTCAGCTTATAAAAATCTGATTGGCTATTTCAGTCATCACTGAAGCCGCCTCCAAATCCACTCATCATCTACCGAATCTTTTTTATTCTGTATTAGTTGCATTTTTTTGTGATTGATGCTGATCTGTACTTTTTTTGGCTTATCGAAATTATCGATACACTCAGTAAATCTTAGCAAGATAAAGAATCTACAGAAAAGTTTGGCTCCCAGTTAAGCATACTATTACACACAACCACACCATAGGATGTAACAGAGTGATACTCCTTAAAACTAACCTAGTGGGGTGAAGGGGGTATTGGAAACTGAATCTTTGTTGATCTAATCAACACTAAATACACGTGACAAGAATGGCTCACTACCTGTTCCGGATGTATGGAGAATCTTAGTATTACTTCTCCTGTTTAACTTCGTTATATAGGTACTAATGGACACAACCTTAGTTACGTCTAACTGCACAGGGATTGATCTACTCCCTAGAGGGCATTTGGTCCACTTGGAGTATGTAAACGATTTTGTCCTGCTGAGTGAACATGACTGACAAAATGCAGGGTTTTCTGAACGCCTTGATCAGAAATCTGCGTTTGGTCTGCATGCGTTTCACACCTGTCAAACGTAAGATGTTACCCCATAAATGATCTACAACTGCTCGTAGTTTAGAGATAAGGGGTGAAGTAGTTGAATATGTCGACTATGGGGAGCTGCATAAGCCCGAACGAGCTTGTCGTTGCGGAAATCTCATCTCAGATACAGAGGGTCCGTTTGGCACTTGTCTACTTGCGTCATCTATGGAGCTGACTTGCGAGATATCCGACAACCCTTTTTAAACGACTAGTATACTGTACCGCAGTCCGTTCTATCCTGTTATATGACTGTGAGAAATGACGGTTAAAAGTGGAGATATGAAGCGACTACAAGTTTTCGACAACAAATATCTTCGTTGGATAGCTAGCGTTTAATGGAATCTCCATGTGAGCGAAATTGAGATCACTCAAAGGGTTCTAGGGACAGAAGGCAAGTCAGTCGGTGAGGTTGTGAAGTTTTATCGACTGACATAGCTTCGACATGTACTGTGCATTCCGAGCTCCTGCCATGCTAATAGAAGTTAGATTAAGTTGGGAGGGGGGTGTGTGGACTACTTGTAGAGACTGCTGTAGAGAAGTGAACCCGTAAAAACAACTGATCTCTTTCAGTACCTTTTAAATTTATTATCTGTTTATCAGTTAGCTAGTTGGAATGGCCTCATTTTTGATATTAAAGATTTCAAGATCAAACTTTGACTTGATAGAGTTGAACAAGTTTAGCACTGGTAAGATATATTCCTAAAATCCCATTGAGTTAGAAGACTAAATTTGAGACGTTTCGCTAGCTTAAGGAAACTTCTTCTTTGGAGAATAAAACCTGTACAAGTTATCACATGCCTAAATAATAAATGGAAGCAGACTAGATCACGTTGTTCATATGATAATAATATGGGAATAAATGTTATGGTTATCAGTTAATAGCCTATAAGTTCAAGGTGAAGGTGTGAGAAAAGTAATATGAATAAAAAAAATTCAGCTTTGTTTGTGCTTTATGTACTTCAGTTTTTCAGCTGTGGTCTATTGGTGTGTTGATTAATCAGTCAGAAGTGAAACTTATGCTTAGATGTTTTAGAAAGACAATGACTACAAATTTCCAGTGAGAAGTTGTGACCGGTGGGGCAAACCAAGTAAACGTTAGGACGAATACTCAACGATGACACTGGGTGATGGTCGTACTGTGTCATGAACTGACAAAAGTTGGAAATATCAATCACTGGATTCCGATCCAGTGGCTTAATGGTAACGTCCTGGCCATGGAACCTGAAGGTCGTGGGTTCAATCCGGGGTGGGGTCATAGGTGCACACTTCTGAGGAGTCCCATACTAGGATGAAACAGCTGTCCAGTGCTCTCAGGTTTCCGATGTTTCTCCAGTTGATGTCAGTCATAATGATAACCAACTTGAAAACTCACTAAATCCCCACAAACCCCCAAATTGGATTTTAAATTTTGTTATTTCCCTGAAGAATCTCGGAGCAGATTTCTGTGCGAAACATTGGATCTATTTCATATCAACCACGGTGTGACTTACACAAATATTAAATATGTATTAGTTGGTTGGAAGCAGTCAGTAGGACACCTCGATGGGACTGACATCCCGCCTGAGATTCCAAGTCCGTTACTCTCCAGTGACTCACTTACATAATAATCAGTGGTAACGTCACTTTTATTACAACACTAGGTAACGAGGGTTCAAATCTTAGACGGGACATAAGTTCCGTCGAGGTTGACGAGTGTCGACAAGCACGAAACCTAGGTGAAGCAGGGCTTCTTGCTGATTGCTTCCAACCAACGAACATTTACTAATGTGCATCGCGATGTTGAGCCTCCTAGCTTGGTGACCACGTTGCAAATATGATTGATAGGATTCGGTGTGCACTTGGGACTAGAAAACATGAATTTGGTTGCTCTCTTATGACGAATCAATAGAAACTATGTATGTAATATCAACCTTTTACTCAATGCCCGATATTTACGATACTATTCATGTCCACACTTGATTGTAGTTCATATGAACTTCTATCTATTCATATTATTTTAGGTGAAGAAGCTTATGGAAGAGGCTGTAATTCGCAGTTATGTTCATGAAGATAGTGAAACAATCACAAAATTTTGTTGTAAGTGAAAATATTACTTTTTTTTCTTCTATTGCTAACCAAACCAGGGTTTTTGGATGAACTGATTGTAGATATTTGATTTTTGCGCCTATAACAATGTATTTCATTTATTATGATTGCTATTATGGATATTAGTGATGGATGGTGGCTAGCAATGGGATCCAAGACACGTGTTTCCCCCTTCCCAGGACTCAGTTGTCAACTTGATATACCTGCACTCCAGTGATTGTTGTTATTGCAAGTAAGACTGAAGCCCAATACTGTTTCAAACACTAGGACATTATCCACTAGGCTACTGAGTTGTTATTATTATTACTATAACTATTCAGTTTAACTGCTTTTCATGCTAACCTTTGCCTATTGCTTGGTTGTATTATTTTGTGAAATTGATTCCGTGAATTGTTGTTAAAAAACATGTAGCTAACTTGCTTAGAAATAATTCATTTGTGTTAATGTATAGATTATATTATTATACTACTATCCATATCCTTGAAGAGTTGAATATTCAGCAGTCTATCGTTCATTCCTTGATAATACTTGTTGACTTATACACCTTTATTATTATTTATTGGAGAACAAACATGGTTCAGAAAGGGCAACAAGAAATGTGGCACACAGAAGAATAGTAGACATAAACGATGGGAAGTGGATAAGTAAGAAAGAATAACAATAGGAATAGGATGACTAAAAAGGTAGTTCAGTAAGATAGATTGAGAACAAAAAAGTCATTACTTTTCAGCAGCAAAAGATAGAAGGAAGCTACAGTATGACCGCCACTGGTTTGTTGACCATATCTGATAACGTCTCAAGGCACTAAGTTGTGCGATCTCTCGGACCCCACCCACGGAGTCGCGATGCACCAACAGATGTTAACCCAATGCAACTATCCTCCATCCTACGGTGCCACATCATACACTGGTCATCCTTCTGCTTCTTCCATCCAGCTCCAGTGTTAGCAAACAATGAACGGTTTGGAAGCCGTTGGGACTACATGCGTAATACATGTCCAAGCCACAAAAGCAGGTATTTCCAGACGACTTATTGAACAACGATCCCCACAATGCCTAAACTTCCGAAATGAACGCAGGGACAGGCTCCTGCCAATCTTGCAAAAGTATTTTACATTTCGATGATGCATAGCACAAACCATACTTACGGACTAATCGCCAACTGACTAAGCGCGATTTGAGTAGCCTGTGGGTTGTCGCTCAGTAATATGATATCGTCCGCATATTCAAGGTTGAGTAGCCGTTCTCCGGGTAGTAGACCTACGCCACCCTGCCTAACCCCACTGCTGGTTTGGAAAAATGGAGATACGTGGTTGTATGCTCTCATTCTACATGAGCTGTTATTGTATGGCAATTTCAAGATGTTGATAAATTAGGTCCCTCTCCAACAGATAGTTCCAGAGTACAGTTATGTCCAACGAACCGAGGACACCCCGAATGTCAAGAAACACGATGATTGTTGACCTGCAGTGCATCTGGCGATGTTCAAGCATCTGGTGGAGGGTAAAAAGTGGTCAGTGCACCCACGACCTGAATGAAACCTGGCCTGCTCCTCGCGAATCATCTTCTCACGTGTTTTACAAAGTCTGCGAAGCATCATAGCAGCCAATATTTTAGACGCGACTGGTAACATATTAATACCTCTATGGTTGTCACATACGTTACGTAGACCCTTTTTAAAGATGAATACAATGATGGTTTCACTCCAGAGCGATGGAACACTCAGTCTACTATACCTTCTCAAACAATTTGACTAGAGTCATTCCTCCATCCTTTAAAGGAGCTGGGGGTGAGTTGTTTTAGCCGGGTGACTTGTGGCGTTTCAGAACTTTGAGTTCCTTATGGATCTCCTCTTCGTTAGGTGGGTCAGTGTTAACTGACCATAGAACATAATACACCAAAGGTGACAATGCTGGAATCGTGGGCCAACTAAACTGCTCCTCCCACCATTCCAGGAGTCTTTAAAGATTGTTTATCGGCGTACACCTAGTTATCCTTTTCATTTTAGAATCCATAAAATTACTTAAGGAGTAAACTGAAAACAGGTAGACAAACAAACTGAGAATTCTGTGATCTGTTGTTGTATACATGTGTAAGATAGTTTTTAAAGTGGAAAAAAAAACAACAAAACTCTTTTATTAGTTTCATCATGAAAAGATTCCCTACAAACAGAAGTAGTTAACAAAAGCTATACAACTGACTTATCAACGAAAACTGTGAGCAGATATACTAGTCTCAGTTGGCTTTCGTGAACTTTTGGCATTTATAGCACCGTTGTGGCATCCGGTTGCGTATTAAGGACCGAGTTTACTGTGCCGCATTTTTTCTGTTCTACCATATATCTGTAAACATGACCACAGAAGGTAGAGGACGTGTGAGACCTTCAGCTACACGTTACTACTGAGCGATAGGCTCTTCGCGAAAACTGAATGCCATTGGTGCACACTGCTAAGGAGTCCTACAGTAGGACGAAACGGCTATCCAGTTCTTTCAGGTTTTCAATAGTTTTCCAACTAATGAATACCACACTTTACAGTGACATGCGAAGAACAAGCAATCGAAAAATGACCGATATCAAAGTAGACACAAGTGTATTGGAGGAGAAAGAATTTAGAAATGAAGGTTAGTCGAGACATTCAAGCTTTATAAGACATCAAGGAGTGAATACATCTGCACTGTTATGATCAATTTTTAGCGATTTCACCAAAAGTCTTCAAACACTAGTTTCTATGGTCTTGGGGACCCAGCCAGGTAGTCTACACCTTCCTACAAGGCTCATACCAACAGTCACAGGTTTCATAAACTAGTGCTTTTTATTGATGTAGCCTCCCTGAGCGTTATTCCAATGCATCCCACCTCCTGGTATCGTTACACTTCGAGGTAGGCGGTGGCTCAGCACACACAACACTGTTGAATTTATTTCCTAATAAGAGAAGCGGGGGTTTAGAAAAGGTCGGTCCTCAAAATAGCGCATTCCTTTCTTCCATATGTTTTTGCACTGCTGCTGATATGACTGAACGGCTGGATTCAAAATAAACAATGTAAACGTCAAAACTGCACATGGGTGTGTGTGAATGACCTCAGGTAGATCAACTTTGCGCTCTACAGTCACCCATCAGCATTACTAACTCAATTTCTCGATCAGATGCCTCAAGGAAAAGTCACGCTCCACAATGTGGGCATTTGGGAAGCGTCAAATGCCTTCACAACTCTGTCAGAACTCAGTTTCCTTCTCTAAGTTGTTCACGTTGAAATAAAATAACCACTTCTATAGATTTATTAGTTAATATCCTTTTCTTCCTTCTTTTTTCCTTTAATTAGCATCAGTTGAAACTGTCCTACTCAATGGTATTCGCCGGAGTATATTCACGTGGATGGAAGAAGAGACAACATTTATACTATGCCAAAAAATTGCGAAATTCTGTCCTGAGGCCCAACAAACTCTAGATCGTATGGAATTTCATAAACAGGCTATTTTAAAAAGACGGAATGATCATCAATCGAAGGGGAATAATTCACCTTTATGCATTAAAACGAAATCTTCTAATTCACTGTTATCACCATCACCATCATCGTCATCATCATCATCATCATCTGAAAAGTCATCTCCTTCAATGCATTTCACCTTCTGGGCGAACGAAAACAAGAACAATTTTCATCAAAGTAATAATACTACATTAGTAAATGGGTAAGCTGACTAATGAATATTTATATTAAGTGGTGATTGGAAGGTGAAATGAAAATTTAGGCTACGACAGGATTCGAATCAGCCACCTCCGGACCCCGGTTCACTGCTCTACCATCTGAGCTATGAGACCCGACTGCTGACCAGATTTTTATTTCACTTCAATCACTAAGGGTTTGGCCTAACTGTCATGTGAATTCATGACGCGTTACTACCACTTGATCGTATTCACACAGACTGCCCGGTCAGGACATCTCACTAGAACCAAAACCTACTTGAATTAGAGAGGGGGAGCATCATATTGATTATTTGTTCGAGTATCTGAGTGAGATAGCTCCGGTTTGGCAGGCTTGTATTTAAATCTGGTCAATAGCTGGGTCTTGTAGCCTGGTTGATAGAGCACCGGGCCGATAACCTGGTGTCAGTAGTTGATGTTCCACCTGAGATTCGAACCTGTGTCACCCAGTGCTATTTTCAGAAGGCTTTACAGACTGACTGGGGAAGCAGCATGAGCTCAAGGTCTCATCATGGGATTTAAGTCGAATAAATTTTATTGGATATCTTCTACAGCCTCACCAGGCGATTCAGTAACCTAAATGTGACTGGGTCACGAGGTGTTTCTTCACATTATTCATACATGCATATTACCTTTTGTCAACTTTAAAAGAGCAAGAATAAACATTGTAGCAGTGAACTGGAACCACCTTTTTTCATGGTATATTTAACCAACCATTGACAAACCAGTTCCAGCCTTTCCGCTAACCGACAAGAAACTTTGGGTAGTGTAGGGCTTAATGAAACATTCTGTTTATGTGTCTTAGATAGACCATACATAAAAGGCAAATGAGATCCTTGAGGCTTTTGTGATTCTTTTTTCAGCTGAGTCGGTGAAAATCTTTGTTCTTACTGTCAATCTGAATTTCAATGTGTCATTTATAGTGAACTTCATCTTAATAATGTAATCAACTTTATTCCTTACTACAATATATGAATCTTCTCATTACCTCTCAGGTGTTTTATTGCAACCTTGTGTTCTTTTGGTAGATAAGATTCTGGACTTGGGAATCGGTGACAAATGAGTATTGATTAGCCATGTTGAGTAGTACAGCTTTGAAAAAGCCTTTTTTAAAATCATCATTCATTGGAAGGAGGTCAGTTAAGTGGTAATCACTCCTATCTAGGCAGCATCGTCTCAATCACAGGCGGCACGGACAAGGACGTCAAAGCCAGGACCTCAAAGACAGCAAGACGCGTTCATTAGCCTGAAACCAGTGTGGAGATCTTCTGCACTCCACTCAGCATGTGGAACAAGATCCGGATTTTCAACACCAATCCAGTCAAGTCAGTGCTTCTGTGTGATGGTTGAGAGACCTGGTGCGTTACGAAAGGCATTTCCAACAAACTACAAACATTCATGAACAACTGCCACCTACTCTGGCTCGTTACTAAATAATACCAGAATACCAGAATAATGAGAATAAGCAAGAAGGAACTCTGGCTGTCTGGGAACGAACCAACCAAGAGGCTATCACCCAACAAATATGTAGTGGAAGGAAATGGGGATGGACTGGGCCAACTGGGGACATCACGCGTCAGGCTAGGTCGTCGAGTGGAAGCCATATGGGAAGCGACGAGTTTGGCGTCCATGGTGAGGTTGATATGGAGGAGATCATGCGAAGAAAAAATGAGAGCTTGTGGGCTGTCGTGGAACCATGTTCAAAAGATTTCAGAGAAGAGGGTGCACTGGAGACGTTCTACTGAAGTCCCATATTCCATTAGGAACCCAAGGCACAAATAATAATAATAACAATAATATACACTGTCGAAGCGTATCTCAGCCTTAGACAGTAAAAACATGCCGCCTCTTTGAATCCCTTAACATGGTATTCTTAAGTCATCGTTTGTACTAGAAATAGTATAAATCGCATAGTTTTAGTTGACTCATTGTAATTTCGAAGGAATATGACACCTTTTAACTCACTATAATTTCTGTAGCGTGAATTTTTAATTTGGTTTAGTTTTAGTCTGACTCTGAGAAACAATCGAATCAAATTGACAAGATTTAAGGTTTCAACAGTTTTAATTGATAGCTAAATAAAAATATTCTTCATGGACTTAGCCATTGAACAGCTGAGAGCACTAGATGACTGCTTCATCCTAGTGTGGAACTCACCAGGAGTGCGCACTTATGGCCCAACCCCGCCCTGCTAGGGGTCGAACCAGAGCCTTCGTGTTCTGCAGGGAGAATTATGTTAACGGAATACAGTGGTACACAGTTTGCTTCTTCTATTAATTCGTGATATGGTGTCATTGTTAAGTATTTGTTCCCACACCTGACTTGATTCTGTTAAAAAGTGAATCGTTAGAAATAAGAACTTATGAACCATTGAATTCCGACCGAGTGATAACATACTCTTCCATGAAACCTGAATATCCTGCGATCGACCCCTGGGTATGCACTACTGAGGAGTCCCATATTAGGACGAAATAGCTGTCCAGATTCTCAATGGTTCTGCAACTGATGTAACTAACCAGAAATAAATAAATAAATTCCTACAAACTCCGAATTGAATTATTCTTTGCAGTTTTTCAAGTGTTCCTACTTAATGATACATTTCCGGTCGAATTTTTTGTTGACTAATATGGTTAGATTACACTATAGTTTTGAAAAGGTTCTATTCCTTCTATTATGATTATTTATAAAATAACTATAATAATATGTTGGATTAATTCAAACACAACCCAATAAAATGAACATTGAACATTGAAGTGCGGGTTTATTGAACTATTGCTACACACTAATTTTGTAATGAATAAATGTTGATAAATGGATTGATTGATTTTCAATGTGTCTATGTTTGCAATCAGTTATTGAACTAGTACACCTTCCTAATAGCAATTTATTCAATAGTTTTATATGAATGAATGATTAGTTGATAGTCAGTATGACTTTTGAACTTGGTAGTCCAAGTTTGCTCATCTCATATACATCATAATATACAAAGATACAAGGTGGTAACGTAAGAGGTAAGAAAATGGGAAATAATTTGCTCACAAGTTGTAGGAAGTCATACGAGATGGGATAAGAAGGTTAAACAATAACGAAACGTTTCGTCCTACTTCAAAGCTCTGCAACACAGTGTCCACTCATAACAAGGTTAAGGTCTGGTGGCAAACACACTACAACTGAGTTGGAATCCAATGGTCCGTGCCTTCCTTCTGTTTCCAACCACTGATTTTGGTTGCTACAAGTACCTCAACCAGGTAGTTTGCTTTTCTGTATACGGCTTAAACCAAGAGTCAGAGAATTTATGGACTGATGCCACCTTTTCTTCTGGATGCCTTTGATCCTTTCCTATCCTAAACACACTTCAGATAATGTTGCTTGTATTATACCGTCGTTGATTGAACTGAATTGATCGGTCTCTATTGGCGTATGGGCCCTGTATGTATGCCTCGATACTGACCGAGACTATTGTTCAAGACTATTAGCATTCTCTGTGACTATATATCTCCTAGAAACCCCCCCCATTTCCTATTACTCCAACCTTTCTGAGGAAGCTGGTATTACTGTGTACCGACAAAGTCCGCTTCATGTTTGAAGGTGAACGCTTTCGACAAGTTGATAGTGTAGCTATAGGTAATCCGTTTAGACCACTACTAGCTGATATTTATGTGTCATATATCGAAAATCTGGCTGGTGATCTCATCGCTAAAGTTTCTCTTTACAAGAAATATGTTGGTGACATCATAGTGGTTTGTGAAAGGCATGAGGATATGGTTTGTCTACTAAAAAGACTTAGCAACGTACAAACTCGCATCAGCCTGAGAACGAGAATAATAATCATCTGCCATTCTTAGATATACTTCTGAGTCGACGAGAAGATGGTCAGTCTACAGAAAGCCTACATGGATAGGACAATACATGTATTTTCACAGTTTTTGTCCAATCCAGTACAAGTGAAGTCTAGTGAAATGCCGTTTATTAGGATCTATCGTATCAGTACATCAATTTCGATGGATGAAAACATCAAATTACTGACCAAAACACTTATGGAAAATAGATATCCGATGAAGTTTATAAACAGTTTTAGCGGTCAAGTAGCACCAAAGCCAATTGCATACACGGTTCCTAAGAAAAGCGTCCATATCACTCTGTTATGCAGAGAGGAGTTGAATAGTATCATTTTGAGACGTATTCTGACATCATCCATTAAGAAAACATATTACACGGCTAATCTTATCATTGGAGAAAAAATAAAACATATGCTTCCCCACAAACCTAAACACTAGACCAATGATTATGTTACATCCCATTGTGTTTACCAATTTACATGTGTGTGGTCACATATGCAAATGGAGGAGTAATTAAGCCATACACTTGAAGGTGAGAGGACATGTACCTAAATGGCTTCAGAAACACACTTGGAGTGTTGAAACATGATTAACGCTGGTGGGAGACGACCCTCTTGATCGGTTTTCCCAATTTTTCAATGTTTCTTCAACTGATGTCAGTCCCTGATGAATACCAACATATCATAGAAAAAGGTCACAAAATCAATGTTCAAACAGACTTTAAAGTCTTATATAGAAACAATCAGGGACGTAGACTGAGATTTGCGGAAGTCATAGCCATACACAAATTGAAACGACTTTGACAAGTGTGTTTCATAGCCTAGTGAATGCACATATACTGACTTGAGTTTTGAAATGAATTATCGCATCGCTACTTTTCTCCCTTGTCCTCAGTGGCTATATGATTACAAGGAGGTTACAAGTATAAATGCAAATAGGTTTTTCCAGGGAATATTTACGGTAGATATATGTGAATTAAATAAAGTGAAAAAGTATTGAAACTTGATTTCCAAGATTGTCGCTCTCTCATATAAAAGCGTTGTTTCACTTCAAAGACCTATGTGCCTATGTATTAGCTACTTCAGAGAAGAGAGTATCGTTAGCAACTCCTTAAATACAGTGAAACTATTCTTTATAAATGTGTATTAAATTAACTACTTCATTAGTCGGATCCCGGGTTCGAACTCTGCTATGGCATAGTTTTCATTTCACCTTCAATGATCATCCAGTGTGAATAATACGAGTTTATCAAACCACAACTGTTTCAAATAATCATATAGATAAACATGTTTATGTTATTGTAATTCTTCACCTTTATTTTAGTCGTCGAGATACTGCCTTTCAAAATTTTTGGATTCGTGTTGCCCTCTTGGAGAAAGTTCTAGATAAGATTGTATATTTTCTTACTATACATTCATCGTAAGTTGCTGATTTTTCACCTGCATTCAGTATTTGAATTGGTTTCTATGCTTATATGTTTATCTATTACGCTTTTTTCTCCAAACGTTTCGCTGACTAAAATTAATTTTTCCTGAAAAGAATTTTGGATATTTTGTTATCCTATAGTCAGATTCTCTGTCAAGGTATTTGGATCACGTGAAAAACTGATTCTTGAGAGAAGGCTAGTTTTTGTTCAACTCATGCATTGATCATGTGTTTTCCTTCCACTAATTACCCAAACACCGTCACATGTATTGTGGATTGATGATCATTGTGTTTCTCGATTCAGTGGAAAGGATTGTGCTCTGTAATTGCTCATCAGAAAGACGTTTCCTAAGAAGTTTGTCACCTTGAAAATACCTCCCATTGTGCTTGCAAACTATCAGTGGGGTTAGAAAGGGTTTTAGGATTTCCCATTTTCTTCTAACTTCTCCATTAATGGAGTTTTCGAGATAGCTATGAGTGAGGTGAGTGATGTGTGCATCTACTACCATAATAGGGTCGTTTGTTCTTGAGTTAACCGGTGATATCGTTTTAGTGCTCGACAACATACAGATTATTCAAATCGTACCAAATCTTTTGGTGGTCAGTATTAGTATCTCTATTATGTGCTTTGCGCTATCGACGTGCAGTGTGCTTCTAAAGACTGATAGGTGTTTGTACCTTCACTATCGCTTGATAGGGATTAGTTGGATGTTGTCGTAACGTTTGTATGTCTGATGGGATATCTAACTGCATATTGTCTATGGTGTGGAGCTGTGAGATGAGAGGTAGTTGTGCTGAGTTAGCGTCTGTTTGTGCATCATAACGTTTTGGGTGGGGTGCGGTAGTTAAGGCAACTTAGTGACTTCAAATGATGGCACACATGACTTAAGCTGGTGAACAGTGGCGATCATGCTGCAGCTCTCTTGGTTCTAATGACGATGAAGAGTAAAAAAAATAATTTAATGTTTCTCTGAATGTTATCTGACTGATATTATTTGGCTAGAAGCCTTAAGGGTACTGATGTCCTCTGTGATATTCGAAACCGCATCACGCAGTGCTGCAGTAAGAAATATTACCACTGAGCTATTCTCGCCGCGGCTGAACTCCTGTAGGACTTGAATGGGTACACTGATTAGTCACTGAGGTCGCAGACATGCCTTGCTGGCGAAATCCGACCAACAAGTATGAAATGTGGGTTCAGGGCTCCCTATCTCCAACCATCGAAAATCCGAATAAAGTCTCTAGTTTTCCCGCTTTCATTGATCAATGTTATAATGAAGACGGAATTTAGAATGTCATCCATACTGTGCTTAGTGACACTGTTCATAGTGACGGTTTGACGCTGCGAGTTAGCAAGTGACTGATATACTTACAAGTAGCTTTATTGAAAAATCTTATGTACTTCACCGAGTTTGGTGGCAAAGTTAACTGAGGTTAATTGGTAGTTAGTGGTGAGTATATCCATTTGTTTTACTCAGTAAGCCAAACCACTGGCTTACGTCGCCACGACTCGACCATTTCTACAGAAGTATATGTCTTCCAGAAGTAGACTAAATCATTAGTTCACAATACAATCTAATTGAACTAACTTTATAATATTCGTAAAAATAAATAAGAAGAATGTGAAATGCAGATTAGGTGTAGCGTACTAAGCATGATACGCATATTGATTGACGAAGTTGTGGACCTTCACGGACTGAATTGGCTTTGACATGTGTTGCGTATGCTGACCCACTGCATACCTTAAAATGAAATAAAAGCTGAAGTAGGATTGATTGAAAAAAGGTTCAGGGTGACCTGACTAAGACTTAGCACCAATCCATGAAATCTCCGACTCTGTGTCGCAGATCTATCCACTCTTTCATTTCTTCTAAACCTTCACTTTTCTGAATCAAATCTTGTAAAACATTCCTCTCCTCTCATACACTTTTTTCTGTTTCAATATCAATCGTTTACTACTCACTTGTTCTTTGTATGATGCTGTGAAGTATAACAAGTTGAACCAATGTGGTTCTGTGCGAGATTTTACATTGATTTTGTCTGTCTGACTATATGCAAGCTCAATATTTCCTCAGAACTTATTTTGGACAAAATTTTTGGATTCTATAGAGACCCGATAGATTGCTGATACTTTGATGTGGTGGTTGGGCTTGTATATCTTAATGACCCAAAAATTTATAGTGATGAGACTCCTGCTCCCTCAAGATCTTACTATGCCAGAAAGGTCTGTTAGAAAGTGGTTAGACAAAACAACAGTTACGATTATAGTGTAGATGGTTATGCTATGATAGAGGTCGGAGTGTGAAGTCATACTGCTTCTTAGATGGGAGTATGAGAGCAGTGTCTATAGGAAACCTTCCCATTGGAATAGCTACTTAGACCTCATATCGTTCCACCCCATCTCTGTTGAAGTAGGCTTAGTTAAATGCCTAAGTACAAGATATTCAGCAAAGACTCTTTTCAACGAATTTATTTTCAAGCTGTACCTCCAATATATATTCGAAAAACTATATCCCGTGAGGAAAACTAAACACTATATGATAGTAATGGTGGACCGTGGCTAGCATTGGAATCTAGGATGAGCATTTCGTTCCATTTGGGACTCGTTAGCTGAATGTACCTGCTTCCCAGTGAATGAGTTGTCCCCACAGGCATTCGGACTCGGAAGCGATCGCTTCAAACGCCAGCGCGTAATCCACTACACCACCAAGCCACGATAGCTACTTCTTATGCGACGGGTATAGTTTTAGTATAATTGTTTTTATATGACACCGTCGTTGATTGGACCGAATTGGTCGGTCTGTATTGGCATATGGGCTCCTGTGCGGATGCCCGATATTGCCAGCGTTCTATTTATGTTAATGATGGATCGTGGCTAGCAGTGGAATCCAAGATGCGCATTTCATGATTAACATCATTAACATAAATAGAACGTTGGCAGTGTCGAGGCATCTGCACAGGAGCCCATATGCTAATAGAGACCGATCAATTGGTCCAATCAACGACGGTATCATATAAAAACAATTATACTGTATGATGGTGATGACAATAATAATAGTGCAGATGATGACATACGCATTTGTGATTATGACACAGTTGAAGAGTGAGTGATAACATAGTAGATTACTCAATGCATGGAATAGTTCATAGAAAGTATATAACCAGAAGGGAGCGGGAAAATTGATGAAAGTGGTAAGCCAATTAAGTATTGTGTAATAGGATCAGACAAGTTGGTCAAGATGAAATAACACCGGAAATTAATCAAAGTGAAGGCAATTATAGTAACAATAATGGTGATAAAGGAAGGATACAAAGGTTAAATTAACAAAGTGTGTGTGCATGTGGGGGGGCTAGTGGGGTTGGAAAATGTTATGGCCATGATAAAAAACAGTGACTGCACATACTTCTTTTGTATACACAGATCAGGTTTTAGTTCATGAATAGTTAAAGCCTCAGCTGTTTTAAGGAGTTGAAAACGAAGAGAACGTGGGAGGTTTGGACGAATTCGATAAATAATTTAGTCATTGTCTGGGTTTGTTAAGTGATAGAAATCAATCAAATGTTCTTGAATAGAACCTCTAACAGACTTTCTTTGACCTTTATAAATCCAAGCAGGAACATGTTTTCGTATACGTGTAGAAAGCATTCTCTGTCTACAGCCAATGTAACTTGCTCCACAAGAGCAGGTGAACTTGTTGATGCACATAGAGGCGGCTAAATGAGGAAGCGTATCTTTAACGCAAACGGAGAATAGGTTACGGTTGGTAAAAGTCTATTGAAATCTTGCTGCGAAGAAAGTTCTACTGATTGATCTGCATAGACGATTGTTCAGTACATCCGAGGCTAGGTCACCTTTAAATTCTCTCATGAACAATGTTTTCTTTGAGACCGCCGAGTAAATGACCAGTCTAGTATTTCTTTCTAGCGTGTTTTATCAACAAAACGGCCAGGGTAACCGTTTTTGCTGAGTGTGCTTTTAAAAAAACGATAGCCCTTCGTCGATACAATCTTCACTATGGATATTTGTTATTCGGTAAGAGAGAGAGAGAGAGAGAGAGAGAGAGAGAGAGAGAGAGAGAGAGAGAGAGAGAGAAGAAAGAAAGAAAGAAAGAATAAGATTTCCTTTTCTGTTGATAGGCACCTAACTATAAAAATTGTTAGTTGTTTGTTCCACGTTGCTTTTCTGTAGATGGATCTTTTGAGGTATCCATTCTTACGTAGGATGAGAAGCATATCAAGAAAAGGAATAGTTGATTTTGATTCCTTCTCTATGGTATACTTGAGGACTTGATGACACTCATTGAATGGATGAAGAACACCGTCTAGATCAACATTTTTGTCACACAACGAAAGTATCGTCCATCTATCTTCTATGAAAGTCAAAGCTATTAATAGTTTGACAAAGTTGTGAATTCTCTAGTTTTGACATGGAAAAGTCTGCTAACAAAGGTCCCAATGGTGACCCCATCGAAATTCCATCTTTCTGTCTATAGGTTTTTTATTAAAACTAAATTGGACATTAAATGTGCACTCCAACAAAAGCTCTTTCAAGCAGCTAGCTGGTGGTTCTACGTCTAAATTATGTGCATAAATATAGTCATGTATATAACAGACAGTCTCGGTGATGGCACACCGTGAACAATGAAGTGATGTCTAGTGAAAACATCATGTTGTTTAAAGCATTAAAACCCTTAATACCCTCAAACTGGAATGTATCACGCATAGAAAAACTCGACACTTGCCTTTTAACAGGTTCCAGAGTTTCAGCTAACCATTGAGCAAATCGGTGATAAGGAGGACCAGCCATATCCAAGATCGGATGAAGAGTAATCCCGCTTTATGTATCTTCGGTAGTCCATATAGACGTGGAATTATGAACCAACTGGTTGGATACGTTCATATAAATCGGGGCCAATTATTTACTTGTCCCTCATGATTCTTAAGACACTTGTGAGTTGTGTTTCAATTAAATGAGTCTTGTTGAACTCACCTTC